GAACTAAACTGAACTAGAACAGAACTAGAACAGAACTAGAACAGAACTAGAACAGAACTAGAACAGAACTAGAACAGAACTAGAACAGAACTAGAACAGAACTAGAACAGAACTAGAACAGAACTAGAACAGAACTAGAACAGAACTAGAACAGAACTAGAACAGAACTAGAACAGAACTAGAACAGAACTAGAACAGAACTAGAACAGAACTAGAACAGAACTAGAACAGAACTAGAACAGAACTAGAACAGAACTAGAACAGAACTAGAACAGAACTAGAACAGAACTAGAACAGAACTAGAACAGAACTAGAACAGAACTAGAACAGAACTAGAACAGAACTAGAACAGAACTAGAACAGAACTAGAACAGAACTAGAACAGAACTAGAACAGAACTTGAATAGAACTAGAACAGTAACTAGAACAGTAACTAGAACAGAACTAGAACAGAACTAGAACAAAACTAGAACAAAACTAGAACAAACTAGAACTGAACTAGAACTGAACTAGAACAGAACTAGAACTGAACTAGAACTGAACTAGAACTGAACTAGAACTGAACTAGAACTGAACTAGAACTGAACTAGAACTGAACTAGAACTGAACTAGAACTGAACTAGAACTGAACTAGAACTGAACTAGAACTGAACTAGAACTGAACTAGAACTGAACTAGAACTGAACTAGAACTGAACTAGAACTGAACTAGAACTGAACTAGAACTGAACTAGAACTGAACTAGAACTGAACTAGAACTGAACTAGAACTGAACTAGAACTGAACTAGAACTGAACTAGAACTGAACTAGAACTGAACTAGAACTGAACTAGAACTGAACTAGAACTGAACTAGAACTGAACTAGAACTGAACTAGAACTGAACTAGAACTGAACTAGAACTGAACTAGAACTGAACTAGAACAGAACTAGAACAGAACTAGAACAGAACTAGAACTGAACTAGAACAGAACTAGAACAGAACTAGAACAGAACTAGAACAGAACTAGAACAGAACTAGAACAGAACTAGAACAGAACTAGAACAGAACTAGAACAGAACTAGAACAGAACTAGAACAGAACTAGAACAGAACTAGAACAGAACTAGAACAGAACTAGAACAGAACTAGAACAGAACTAGAACAGAACTAGAACAGAACTAGAACAGAACTAGAACAGAACTAGAAATGAACTAGAACAGAACTAGAACAGAACTAGAACAGAACTAGAACTAGAACTAGAACAGAACTAGAACAGAACTAGAACAGAACTAGAACAGAACTAGAACAGAACTAGAACAGAACTAGAACAGAACTAGAACAGAACTAGAACTGAACTAGAACTGAACTAGAACTGAACTAGAACTGAACTAGAACTGCACTAGAACTGAACTAGAACTGAACTAGAACTGAACTAGAACTGAACTAGAACTGAACTAGAACTAGAACATAACTAGAACTAAACTACAACTGAACTATAAATCGGCGACAATTGAACTCATTGCATTTTAATTAACTTTTTCGTGATTTTGTCTAACTGTTTAAATACATTTTTTCATTTTAAATAGTTTTTATTCACTTTTAGTTGTTTTTTACTTGTGCCAATCTCTGTTTGATTTAATTGTTGTATTTATAATTTTATTTTATTTTTTTTAATGCAACTAGTGTAGTACTTGTAGATTGTTGCTTCGAATATGGTATTTTTTTGTATTGTTTGTTAATTCTTCAATGACTTGCCAATTTTTTGTGTGTTTTTTTTATTCAATATTTATTTAGTCGATTTTTTAATATTATCAGTTTGCTGAATTTGTTATTGTAATTCAGTGTGTATATTTTATAAAATAATAGGAATCGGTCTTTTTTCTTATTATATAAAACACTTAAGGGTGATAGATTAGAATAAAGACGTAATATGTGGGGCCCTTCAAAATGGGGACGGTGATTGGATTATTAGAAAAGAAAATGAGGTAAAGTTTTTTTTTTTTATAAAAAAAACAAGATAATTGTTAATTAGTTTAAAGTAAAGTAAACCAATTTAAGAATTATAACAAGATATTTTACACATATGGACTAGACTATAGACTAACCTATAGACTAGAGTATAAACTAGACTACTAGACTATTGCCTAGATTATCGAATACACTATAGACTAAACTATATACTATAGACTAGACCATAGACTAGATTTTAGACTAGAGTATAGACTATAGACTAGAATATAAACAATATTATGGGCTAGAATATAAACCAGACTATAGGTTATACTATAAATTAGACTATAGACTAGACAGTAGACTAGACTATAGAACAGCCTATAGAACTGTATAGATTGTAGAATAGACTAATCACTAGTCAATAGGCTAGACTGTAGACTATACTATAGAGCAGACTATGGGCTAGACTATAAACAAACTATAGACTAGAAAATAGACTGTACTATATATTAGACTGTAGTTTGGACTATAGACTGGACTATAGACTAGACTGAAGACTAGACTGTAGACGAGACTATAGATTGGATTATATCCTAGCCTGTAGACTAAACAGTAGACTAAACTATAGACTAGTTCAGTTCTAGTTAAATTCTAGTTCAGTTCAAGTTCACTCCTAGTTCAGTTCTAGTTCAGTTCTAGTTCAGTTCTAGTTCAGTTCTAGTTCAGTTCTAGTTCAGTTCTAGTTCAGTTCTAGTTCAGTTCTAGTTCAGTTCTAGTTCAGTTCTAGTTCAGTTCTAGTTCAGTTCTAGTTCAGTTCTAGTTCAGTTCTAGTTCAGTTCTAGTTCAGTTCTAGTTCAGTTCTAGTTCAGTTCTAGTTCAGTTCTAGTTCAGTTCTAGTTCAGTTCTAGTTCAGTTCTAGTTCAGTTCTAGTTCAGTTCTAGTTCAGTTCTAGTTCAGTTCTAGTTCAGTTCTAGTTCAGTTCTAGTTCAGTTCTAGTTCAGTTCTAGTTCAGTTCTAGTTCAGTTCTAGTTCAGTTCTAGTTCAGTTCTAGTTCAGTTCTAGTTCAGTTCTAGTTCAGTTCTAGTTCAGTTCTAGTTCAGTTCTAGTTCAGTTCTAGTTCAATTCTAGTTCAGTTCTAGTTCAGTTCTAGTTCAGTTCTAGTTCAGTTCTAGTTCAGTTCTAGTTCAGTTCTTGTTCAGTTCTAGTTCAGTTCTGGTTCAGTTCTAGTTCTAGTTCTAGTTCAGTTCTAGTTCAGTTCTAGTTCAGTTCTAGTTCAGTTCTAGTTCAGTTCTAGTTCAGTTTTGTTCAGTTCTAGTTCAGTTCTGGTTCAGTTCTAGTTCAGTTCTAGTTCAGTTCTAGTTCAGTTCTAGTTCAGTTCTAGTTCAGTTCTAGTTCAGTTCTAGTTCAGTTCTAGTTCAGTTCTAGTTCATTCTAGTTCAGTTCTAGTTCAGTTCTAGTCAGTTCTAGTTCAGTTCTAGTTCAGTTCTAGTTCAGTTCTAGTTCAGTTCTAGTTCAGTTCTAGTTCAGTTCTAGTTCAGTTCTAGTTCAGTTCTAGTTCAGTTCTAGTTCAGTTCTAGTTCAGTTCTAGTTCAGTTCTAGTTCAGTTCTAGTTCAGTTCTAGTTCAGTTCTAGTTCAGTTCTAGTTCAGTTCTAGTTCAGTTCTAGTTCAGTTCTAGTTCAGTTCTAGTTCAGTTCTAGTTCAGTTCTAGTTCAGTTCTAGTTCAGTTCTAGTTCAGTTCTAGTTCAGTTCTAGTTCAGTTCTAGTTCAGTTCTAGTTCAGTTCTAGTTCAGTTCTAGTTCAGTTCTAGTTCAGTTCTAGTTCAGTTCTAGTTCAGTTCTAGTTCAGTTCTAGTTCAGTTCTAGTTCAGTTCTAGTTCAGTTCTAGTTCAGTTCTAGTTCAGTTCTAGTTCAGTTCTAGTTCAGTTCTAGTTCAGTTCTATCTAGTTCAGTTCTAGTTCAGTTCTAGTAGTTCTAGTTCTAGTCAGTTCTAGTTAGTTTTAGTTCAGTTCAGTTAGACTATAGTCGAGAATATAGGATTATAGACTAGACAATGGACTACACAATATACTAGACTACAGACTATACTATAGACTAAACAATAGACTAGACTATACTATAGAATAGACTGGACTTTGGACTAGACTATACTATAGACTTTACTATAGACTGGACTACAGACTAGACTATAGACTGAACTATAGGCTAGACTATAGACTAAACTATATATACTATCTAGCTAACTAATCATTTTCTATTTCATTTCTAAAGTGTTTGAGAATTATAATTAAATTTTTGTCTAATGAGTTTAATAAAGGTCTCATTAACCTATTAAACCTTAAAACACGTGTAAATATAATTTCAAATTTCACAAAAAACCACAGATCTTAGACTTAAAAACGCAAATATAATACTTGTAATAAAATATTATTTTTTTATTAAAAACCTTTTATTTGTTTTTGATTTTATAAATTTTTATAACAAGTATTTTGTTTAAAACATTTTTATAAATGTTAAGCAAATAAATTCATTCGCAATTATAATAAAAAACAAAGAAATTAAATGACACATTCACTGTGACTGTAAAAAAAAAACTGAAAGCAGACTATGGACAAGGGAGGCCTACGAGGGCGAAACATATTTTAAATTATTAGTTGTAACAGAAATTGACATTATTTAATGATTAATAAATAAGCTTTGTAGTATTATGTAAAATGAAATAATAATTATTTATTAAATTGAAAGAAGTAGATATAAAGTGGCCAAGGGTAGAGAAAAAAGGTTGCCTTTTTGCCGGGAAAACAAAAACCAGTCATTCGCAACAAAGAAATTTTATTCAACAGTTGCAACCATCACTGAAACAGTCACCATTTGGGGCCTTTGTAATAAAATTACAAACAGCAGACTGTTGCAAGAAAAATAAACTCTTTGTCTCGTTGCTATTTCACCGAAAGCCCTTTTTGGCACTTTTTTTATTAAAAGAAAATTGACAACAATTTAGGAAGTCTTTTTATATATAAAACAGGTGTTTTAATAGTTTCTTTAGTTTAAAATTTATTACAAAATTTACCTGTTGTCTGTAGACATGTTGAATGTTATTTTTGCTTAAAAATTTTTTTGGGAAGTTTTATCAAAAAAAAGTTAATTAAAATTCAGCAAATGTTTTAATTTCTTTAGCACTATAAAATATTGCACATATTACTACAAATTCAAAATTTTTGTTTAAATTTGGTTATTTTTATAAAAAATATTTAAATTCTTAATAAGTTTTCTTTTAAAGAAAATTTTTATGTTTTGTTAACAGGTTTTTTTATTAATAATTTTTTTTTTGTTAACTTTATTTCAACTTCAAAACCGGATTTTTTTTTTAAATTTTATGCACTTTTGTTTCCTTTTTCTTCTTCTAATATTTTAATTTTTACTCTTTTCTCAGTCACTTGTTTAGCTTAAACTGCCATAAAATTTGTAAATGTTGCGGTATTTATGGTTATTTTTTTATTTTTTGCAATGTCTTCAATACAATCACTCACTCACGCTCACTTTTGCTCTTTTTTCAATTATCCATTAATAATAATGCTCCTCTCTCTCTCTTAAGCACTTGAACTTGAAAACTAAATAAAGATCAGCTGTTTAGTTAGAGAGCAACTGGTAGCAAGAGTTAGCTATAAATTACTATATTAACGGTTTTCTCTCTTTTATTTAAAGTTTCCCTAGAAAAGCTCATTAAAAAATAAACAGTTTTAAAAGAGTAATTTTTTTATATATGTATACGTCAGTGTGTGTGTGTGTGTAATATAAAGTGTGGTCACTTCGTGTCTCATCAATCGTTTATTTTAGCCAAGTTTTGCACCTTTTTTCATTAGATTTAACAACATGTTTCATAAACATTTTTTTAATATTGCAAATGGGAAAAATGATCGATTTGTCTAAAATTTACTGATAATAACTGTTTTTTTTAAGATAACATGTTTCTTATTTTTATGAATTTCATCATGGTGTGATTGTTATTTAAGGGAACCCGAGTTATAATTGGAAATGATCATGCAATATAATTAAATGCGTGTGTCTTTTATTATAACCCTAGTAACAGCAAAGACAAAGACGATAGACGTACTATAAACTAGAGTAGACTATAGACAAGACTATAAATTAATCTAGTCACTAGACTATAGACTAGATAATAGACTTGACTATAGACTATACCATAGAATTGCCTAAGGACTAGACTATAAACTAAACTATAAACTGTAGTACAGACAATACTATAGACTACACTATTAACCATATAATACACGAGACTAGACTATAGAATAGACTAGACTATAGACTAGACTATAGACTAGACTATAGACTAGACTATAGACTATAGACTAGACTATAGACTAGACTATAGACTAGACTATAGACTAGACTATAGACTAGACTATAGACTAGACTATAGACTAGACTATAGACTAGACTATAGACTAGACTATAGACTAGACTATAGACTAGACTATAGACTAGACTATAGACTAGACTATAGACTAGGCTATGGACTAGGCTATGGACTAGACTATAGACTAGACTATAGACTAGACTATAGACTAGACTATAGACTAGACTATAGACTAGACTATAGACTAGACTATAGACTAGACTATAGACTAGACTATAGACTAGACTATAGACTAGACTATAGACTAGACTATAGACTAGACTATAGACTAGACTATAGACTATAGACTAGACTATAGACTATTCTATAGACTAGACTATAGACTAGACTATGGACTGGACTATAGACTAGACTATAAACTAGACTATAGACTAGACTATAGACTAGATTATAGACTAGACTATATACTAAACTATAGACTAGACTATAGACTAGACTATAGACTAGACTATAGACTAGACTAGACTATAGACTAGACTATATACAAGACTATAGACTAGACTATAGACTAGACTATAGACTAGACTATAGACTAGACTATAGACTGGCCTATAGACTGGACTATAGACTGGACTATAGACTAGACTATAGACTAGACTATAGACTAGACTATAGACTAGACTATAGACTAGACTATAGACTAGACTATAGACTAGACTATAGACTAGACTATAGACTAAACTATAGACTAGACTATAGACTAGACTATAGACTAGACTATAGACTAGACTATATACAAGACTATAGACTAGACTATATACAAGACTATAGACTAGACTACAGAATATACTATAGACTAGACTACAGACTAGACTACAGGCAAGACTATAGACTGGGCTATATACTACTCTGTAGACTTAACTTTAGAATACAGACTTGACTATAGAATACAGACTTGACTATAGAATACAGACTAGACTATATACTAGACTAGACTATAGACTAGATATTAGACTAGACTTTAGATTAGACTATAGATTATATAAAATACTAGACAATATACTAGTCTATAGACTAGTCTTTACACAAGATTATAAACTAGACTTTAGACTAGAGTATAGACTAGAATACAAATTAAACTATAGCTAGAGTATAGACTGGACTATTGGCTCGACTATAGACTTTACTGAAGACTTGACTTTAGGCTAGACTATAGACTAAACTATAGCCAAAACTATGTACTAGACTATTGGCAAGACTATAGATTAGACTATACACTAGAATATACACTACTTTAGGCTAGACTATAGACTGGACTGTATACTAGACTAGAGAATAGACTATACTCTAGAATATACAGTATACTATACACTAGTCTATAGACAAGATTTTGGACTAGACTATAGACTAGATTTTAGACTAGAGTATATACTTTTGGATATACATTTTATGAACATTTTATTTTAGTTTTGATTTACATATTTTAAAAATTTAGTTTTAGTATATAATTTGCATTTTTCTCCTTCAATTTCGCTAACTGTAAAAACTTTTCTACATGTTGTCATAAAAGCTTTTCCGTTTAACAAAAGCTTTTTAAAAGATAACAGCCTAAAGGTATGTAACAAATTGTTGCTGCTGTGTACAATGGCTTTCAATATTTCTACACCTTGGTAGTAGTAGGCAGTTAGTTCAGTTGATTGTATACCTCTGGCAGCTGATAGCAATTGCATAACGGAAAATCATAAATTAACATGTAATTTACAAGAAAGAAAAAAACAAAAGCTTTTATGCTCTGGGAGACATATAAGTAGTATTTTGCACTCTCTATTTCTATCGCTCTCTTTCCTAGCAGGATTCATAAAACAAATGATTGCTTTTTGACAAAATAGAGCAGCAGTTAGAGAATACTTAATACAGGAAATGTAAATACAGAAAAAAATAGGCTAAAAGCAAATTGTAATAATAAAAAAAATATTTTATCTATACACCATAACAAAGTCAAAGAGCTTTTCATTCATAACCTTGTACGTAACAAAGGGAGAAAAAAAATTTAGGGACTTAGGAAAGGACAAAAAAGTAAAAAAGATGACAAAAGATGTGTTACACAAAGGACGTAGTAAAATGTCATAAAAAACAAATTAATATGAAATTAATTTTTATTACTGACAAAACAGCTGGTTTTATGGGTTTACTAGGAAAAAAGAAGAACATTATTTACAACCCCAGCAATGTGAAGAGACAACCCAAGCAATTGAAAGGAATTTTAGTTAAATTAGTAAATACTTATTTAGTTCTTTAAACATTTTACTTTTTTGTTTTGCAATTTTATGAGTTTGTGTGCTTTGTTCCGTTTAGCTGACTTTTTCCAAGATTGTTTTTCTATGTATGCATGTAGCTAAGGTCAAAAACACAACAACAATAACCCTGTTTCAAAGACAAGGTTAGTAGTTTATTTTTTGCTGGTATACAAAAAAAAAAAACGATTTGTAACAATGGCCAACACAATCAAACCATACAACCAACAACTATTAAACAGCAAGAAAAAACTATGCAAACACACACTTGCAACTACAAGTAAAAAACATTCATTACTAAAGAGCAAGAAAAAAAAGGTACACAAAACAACAACAACAACATTAACAGCATCATTGAACCTAACTCAATAAACATACAAATATACATTTATAGAAATGTATGTACATACATACATATGCACTTATATTCACACGAAGTTTGTGCATTCGTTTTTCTAGCTTACAAACATTTAAACTTATGCACGATTCTCATACGATAAGGTTCAAAACAATATTTTCTCATTTTCCACTTAAACTCACATATACATACATACTTATAGAATGGAAAAGTCTACGCTCCCATTAACATCTAGCCAGACAAAATCATGCTGCGAGAGGTATCGTCTACAACAAAGAAAAAAGAATTATTGTTTGCCAGAGAAATACTAAAGTTGCCATATCATTTTCCCTAAATCTTAAGACTTTGATATAGTCTATACTCAAGTTTTCAGATTAGTCTGGTCTATAGTCAAGACTAAAGACTGGTCCAAACTATAGAATGATTTATAGTCCAGACTATAGGCTGACCTACAGTCCAGACTTTATAATCTAGACTATAAACTGATCTTATATTCCAGACTATAGACTGATCTATAGTCCAGACTATAGACTGATCTATAGTCCGGACTATAGACTGATCTATAGTCCAGACTATAGACTGATCTATAGTCCGGACTATAGACTGATCTATAGTCCGGACTATAGACTGATCTATAGTCCGGACTATAGACTGATCTATAGTCCAGACTATAGACTGATCTATAGTCCAGACTATAGACTGATCTATAGTCCAGACTATAGACTGATCTATAGTCCAGACTATAGACTGATCTATAGTCCAGATTATAGACTGATCTATAGTACAGACTACAGACTGATCTATAGTCCAGACTATAGACTGATCTATAGTCCAGACTATAGACTGCTCTATAGTCCATGCTATAGACTGATCTATAGTTCAGACTAAAGACTGATCTATAGTCCAGACTATGGACTGATCTATAGTCCAGACTATAGGCTGATATATAGTCCAGACTATAGACTGATCTATAGTCCAGACTATAGACTTATCTATAGTACAGACTATAGATCAGCCTATAGTCTGGACTATATATCAGCCTATAGTCCAGACTATAGACTTATCTATAGTCCAGACTATAGACTTATCTATAGTCCGGACTTTAGACTTATCTATAGTCCGGACTATAGACTTATCTATAGTCCAGACTATAGACTTATCAATAGTCCAGACTATAGACTTATCTATAGTCCAGACTATAGACTTATCTATAGTCCAGACTATAGACTGATCTATAGTCCAGACTATAGACTGATCTATAGCCCAGACTATAGGCTGATCTATAGCCCAGACTATAGGCTGATCTATAGCCCAGACTATAGGCTGATCTATAGTCCAGACTATAAACTGATCTATAGTCCAGACTATAAACTGATCTATAGTCCAGACTATAGACTGATCTATAGTCCAGACTATAGACTGATCTATAGTCCAGACTATAGACTGATCTATAGTCCAGACTATAGACTGATCTATGGTCCAGACTATAGACTGATCTATAGCCCAGACTATAGGCTGATCTATAGCCCAGACTATAGGCTGATCTATAGCCCAGACTATAGGCTGATCTATAGTCCAGACTATAAACTGATCTATAGTCCAGACTATAAACTGATCTATAGTCCAGACTATAGACTGATCTATAGTCCAGACTATAGACTGATCTATAGTCCAGACTATAGACTGATCTATAGTCCAGACTATAGACTGATCTATGGTCCAGACTATAGACTGATCTATAGTCCAGACTATAGACTGATCTATAGTCCAGACTATAGACTGATCTATAGTCTAGACTATAGACTGATCTATAGTCCAGACTATACACTGATCTATAGTCCAGACTATACACTGATCTATAGTCCAGACTATAGACTGCTCTATAGTCTAGACTATAGACTGATCTATAGTCCAGACTATACACTGATCTATAGCCCAGACTATAGACTGATCTATAGTCCAGAATATATACTGATCTATAGTCCAGACTATAGACTGATCTATAGTCTAGACTATAGACTGATCTATAGTCCAGACTATACACTGATCTATAGTCCAGACTATACACTGATCTATAGTCCAGACTATAGATTGCTCTATAGTGCAGACTATAGACTGCTCTATAGTGCAGACTATAGACTGCTCTATAGTGCAGACTATAGACTGCTCTATAGTGCAGACTATAGACTGCTCTATAGTCCAGACTATAGACTGCTCTATAGTCCAGACTATAGACTGCTCTATAGTCCAGACTATAGACTGCTCTATAGTCCAGACTATAGACTGCTCTATAGTGCAGACTATAGACTGCTCTATAGTGCAGACTATAGACTGCTCTATAGTGCAGACTATAGACTGCTCTATAGTCCAGACTATAGACTGCTCTATAGTCCAGACTATAGACTGCTCTATAGTCCAGACTATAGACTGCTCTATAGTCCAGACTATAGACTGCTCTATAGTGCAGACTATAGACTGCTCTATAGTGCAGACTATAGACTGCTCTATAGTCCAGACTATAGACTTCTCTATAGTGCAGACTATAGACTGCTCTATAGTGCAGACTATAGACTGCTCTATAGTCCAGACTATAGACTGCTCTATAGTCCAGACTATAGACTGCTCTATAGTCCAGACTATAGACTGCTCTATAGTCCAGACTATAGACTGCTCTATAGTCCAGACTATAGACTGCTCTATAGTCCAGACTACAGACTGATTTATAGTCTAGACTATAGACTGCTCTATAGTCCAGACTATAGACTGCTCTATAGTCCAGACTATAGACTGCTCTATAGTCCAGACTATAGACTGATTTATAGTCCAGACTATAGACTGATTTATAGTCCAGACTATAGACTGATTTATAGTCTAGACTATAGTCTGATCTATAGTCTAGACTATCGATTGGTCTATGATACAGTCTATAGTTCAGTGTCTAGACTAGTTTATAGTCGCCTATATAGATTGGTCTATAGTCAGGACTATAGAATTGTCTGTAGTACAGTCTATAATATGGATTATAGACTAGTCTGTAGCCCAGACTATTTGCTGGTCTATAGTCCAGACTATAGACTATACAGTGATCCATAGTCATGGTTACAGACTTTTCAATAATCAAGACTTGTCTATAGTCATGGCTTTTATTGATAAGTAGTTTTTGATCAATTTATGGAGCGGGTGTCCCATTTCTCGCATACTTTATTTGACATACATCTATAGTCCAGACATAGTCTAGACCATCTATTGGTCTATGATCCAGTCTATAGATTGGTCTATAGTTCAGTCTCTAGACTAGTCTGTAGTACAGTCTATAATATGGATTATAGACTAGTCTATAGTCCAACCTATATAATCCCCTTTATAGATTGGTCTATAGTCAGGACTATAGACTATTCTGTAGCCCAGATTATTGACTGCTCTATAGTCCTGACTATAGACTATACAGTGATCCATAGTCATGATGACAGACTTGTCAATAATCAAGACTTGTCTATAGTCATGACTTTTATTAATAAGTAATTTTTGATCAATCTATTGAGCGTGTATCCCATTTCTCGCATAGTTTCTTTGACATACAGGACGTATGTGAAATATTTTATTTATATAGAAATTTTTAATAAGTATACAATCTGGTGTTGAAAAGCAAACTGTTTGACAGGGCGTATGTGAGATATTTTATATGTGGGTAATACGTATACGATCTGAGGATTCATATTACTGCAGTTGGAAATAAATTTTTGTAAATTTTATTACTTTATTAACATGCCATCTAAACAAATGTTTAATTAACTAATTATATAATAGAATATAGAGGTGTTTTGTTCATTAATTTTCTACTGATAACCTTTGTAGTAGTAAATCTAGTTTCTCATTAATACTAAGTGAAGAATTTTTAGCAGATTTTTTCTTCAATATTTCTAAAGCTTGAGCTGAGGTATGCTCATCAATTGACGGCTTTAACTTAAGCATAAAACGTGAACACCAAGAATGTTGTTCATAAATATATAAAGTAGAATAAATTTTATTATTACAATTTGGTAAAAAAGAGACGCCATCAGCAATGGAGTAGTTGGACGCCAGTTTCGTGATAAGCTTGCTTATATATACATAATTATTTTCACAGCAATATGACTTTTCGATAGCACTAGAAATTTCGCTTTCTGTGGCATATCGTACGAAATGAGAAAAAACTACATTAAATGATTTATGGTTTTTACTTTCTATCGAACTAATTAACAAGTTGTAGTTTTCACATCCGGTTATAGAGTTAAAATGCTCTTTATACAGTTTTTCAAACATATTCAATGCACTCGCCTTTATACAATTATCCAGAGACTTAAATACAGTTATTTGCTGGGGCTATCTTATATCAGTATAATCCATTTCCAATATTTTTCTTAATTCCCCCTGACCAAAGGTATCAATATTAATGTTGTCGCTTGAAAGTAGCATTTTTATGATTTGACATTTATTATCATAATTTAAATGTATATTTTTCACCACATTTTGTAATGGTGTAATTCCTTCTTGATCGGGTATATTGGGTGATACTCGCGCTTTAAATATAACTTCTATAAATTGTTTTATATTCTTTACATTTGCATTGTTAAGTTTCTTTATCAATGAGTTAAGCAGAAATAAGTTAACATATTCCCATGCCGGATATAAAGAGCAACAATTAACAAATACTTTAAAATTGTCAAAATCTTCCGATTTGCAAACATATTTAACAGCTTGATAACAAAAATTTGTTACCTAAAAATAGAAAATATAACTGTATAACTATAACTGTTATATTATAGCACTTACATTTATCGGTTCATAACCTCTAGACATAGAATTCCATATAAATTCTGAGCTACCAGGTGTCTGTAGTGCTTGATATAAAACACACAAGTCTTCATCTGGGTATTTCATTAAAGGATTTGCACCTTTTTCTAGGGCGTTTGTAAACAGCTTGAGATCACTTTTCAAAAAAGCCTCATATAGTTGTATCTGTGTAGTAAGTGAATATAAAATAATATATTTACACAGTATATTCTTTTTAAACATACCTGATTACTGGTCTGAATATCCGACAATACAGCAAAATTAACATAGTGTCCCATTTTGAGTTGATAAGTTTTGATATTATAGTAAATACTAAAGCCTATACTTAATATTATAGATTGCTTTACGATATTCAAGACCTGGTCTATAATCAGACTTGGTCTACAATCAAGACTGGTCTATAGTCAATTCTATAGACTGGTCTACAGTCAAGACTATAGACTGGTCTATAGGCAAGACTATAGACTTGTCTATAGTCAAGACTATAGACTGGTCTATAGTCAAGACTATAGACTTGTCTATAGTCAAGACTATAGACTGGTCTATAGTCAAGACTATAGACTGGTCTATAGTCAAGACTATAGACTTGTCTATAGTCAAGACTATAGACTGGTCTATAGCCAAGACTATAGACTTGTCTATAGTCAAGACTATAGACTGGTCTATATAGTCCAGACTAAAGACTGGTCTATAGTCAAGTCTATAGACTGGTCTATCGTCAAGACTATAGACTGGTCTATAGTTAAGTCTATAGACTGGTCTATAGTCATGTCTATAGACTGGTCTATAGTCAAAACTATAGACTGGTCTATAGTCCAAAATATAGACTGGTCTATAGTCAAGACTATAGACTGGTCTATAGTCAAGACTATAGACTGGTCTATAGCCAAGACTATAGACTGGTCTATAGTCAAGACTACAGACTGGACTAGAGTCAAGATTATAGAGTGGTCTATAGACTATAGACTGGACTATAGTCAAGACAACAGACTGGTCTATAGTCTACACTATAGACTATATACTAGCCTGTAGTCAAGACTATAGACTGGGTTATAGTCAAGACTATAGACTGGTCTATAGTCAAAACTATAGACTGGTCTATAGTCAAAACTATTTGACTATATACTAGTTTGTAGTAAACTTTATAGACTGGTCACCTATGTCATGACTATAGGTGATCTATAGTCAAGACTATATGCTGGTCTATAGTCAAGACTATATGCTGGTCTATAGTCAAGACTATAGACTGATCTAAAGTCTATACTCCTGTAGACGGGTCTATTGTCAAGACTTGCCTTTAGATTATTTTATAGTCTTTGCTATAGATCAGCCTATAGTATTAACTATTGATCAGTCTAGAATCAATGTATAGTCTTTGTTATAGATCAGCCTACAGCATTTATAGACTGGTCTATAGTAAATTCTATAGACTGATCTATAGTCAAGACTATAGACTTGTCTATAGTTAAGTCTATAGACTGGTCTTTAGTCATGTCTACAGACTGGTCTATAGTCCTGTCTACAGACTGGTCTATAGTCCTGTCTACAGACTGGTCTATAGTCCTGTCTACAGACTGGTCTATCGTCAAGTCTATAGACTGGTCTATAGTCAAGACTATAGACTGATCTATTGTCATGACTATAGGTGATCTATAGTCAAGACTATATGCTGGTCTATAGTCAAGACTATAGACTGGTCTATAGTCAAGACTATAGACTGATCTATAGTCAAGACTATAGGTTGGTCTATAGTCAAGACTATAGGTTGGTCTATAGTCAAGACTATAGGTTGGTCTATACTCCTGTAGACGGGTCTATTGTCAAGACTTGCCTTTAGATTATTTTATAGTCTTTGCTATAGATCAGCCTATAGTATTAACTATTGATCAGTCTAGAATCAATGTATAGTCTTTGTTATAGATCAGCCTACAGTATTTACTATAAACTGATATATAGTTTTGGCTATAGACTAGTCAATAGTCTTGACTATAGCAAAGACTATAAAATAATGTATAGATATGTGACAAAGACTGTTCAAAAGTTAAGACTACGGACTAATCTATAAAAAATACTATAGACTGATCTATATACAAAACTAAACTATAGATAAGTCTATAGACTCAATAATTGAGAACTTTTCCACTTTTTTTTTAATATAACTAATAAATTTTATTTAATTCGATTTTTATTTGTTTATGTTATTATTTTAATTACTTAGATATTCACAGAGAGAGTAGTAAATTTGTAATGAAATAATGAAATGGATTTGATTAGATTTATAGCCGGTGTGGTGTATGATCAATAATTTGTGGTCAAGACGTTGATATAGAAAAATATAAATAGAAATAGTTTTATAATTCTATGTAAATGAATTATCGCTCATTTACTTGAAAGCTGACATAGTTAGTTAATTAGTTAGTTAGTTAGTTAGTTAGTTAGTTAGTTAGTTAGTAGTTAGTTAGTTAGTTAGTTAGTTAGTTAGTTAGTTAGTTAGTTAGTTAGTTAGTTAGTTAGTTAGTTAGTTAGTTAGTTAGTTAGTTAGTTAGTTAGTTAGTAGTTAGTTAGTTAGTTAGTTAGTTAGTTAGTTAGTTAGTTAGTTAGTTAGTTAGTTAGTTAGTTAGTTAGTAGTTAGTTAGTTAGTTAGTTAGTAGTTAGTTAGTTAGTAGTTAGTTTGAAAGGAAGATGTACATATATACATCAAATCCGAAGAAATACACCTAGGCCTCTATTAAGCCTGTTGTGCGCTCCTTAACCAGTGCCTCAGGTGGGAATCTAACCCACCAACTCGGGTCTACCAGACTAGAACTCTAACCACTACAGGAGGCCACAAAGCTGACATATCTTAACTAATGAAATTTGTTTTGATTACAGCTCAGTCTATATGGTCTATAAATCAGTCTACAGTCCAGACTATGGATCAGTCTACAGGCTTGACTATGGATCTGTCTACTGTCTTGACAATAGATCAGTCTATAGGCTTGACTTTGGATCAGTTCATAACCTTGACTATAGATCAGTCTGGTCTATAGGTTTTACTATGGATCAGTATATAGACTTCATTATGAATCAGTCTATAGTATTGACTATAGATTAGTCTATAGTCTTGACTATATATCAATCTTGACTATATAGTGGATCAGTATATAGACTTTACTATGAATCAGTCTATTGTACTGACTATAGATCAGTCCATAGTCTTGACTATATATCAATCTTGACTATAGAATAGTCTTGACTTTAGATCAGCCTATAGTCTGGCCTATAGGTTTGACTATGGATCAGTATATAGACTTTAATATAGATCAGCCTATAGTCTCGTCTATAGGTTTGACTATGGATCAGTATATAGACTTTAATATTAATCAGTCTATAGTGTTGACTATAGATAAGTCTATAGTCATGACTAAAAATCAATCTATAGTCTGGCCTTCAGATCAGTCAATAATCTATAGATCAATCTGTAGTCTTCACTATAGATCTGTCTATGGTTTTGACTACATTTCAGTATATATTCTTGACTATAGATCAGTCTATAGTCTGAACTATAGATCTGATCTAATCTATTTAGATAAGTCTAAAGTCTTGATATATCTAAATCAATCTGTTTATGGTCTTGGCTATAGATCAGTCTATAGAAATGACTACAGATCAGTTTATAGTCTTGACTGTAGATTAGTCTATAGCCTTGTCTATATACCATTCTATAGCTATGACTATGGATCTTTATAAAGCTTTAACTATGAAATAGCTTATTTTCGCCTTTGTCTCAGACTTTTAAGAAATTTTGGATAATTATTGGCATATTTTACAAAAAATTCAGACTCTGGTAGCTTTTAGATAACAACAAGACAACAAAACAATTGAGTATGTATGGGGGTGCAAATGAGAGTGTAAAGACTTGATGGTTATACAAGTATTACAGTTAATGGTTTTGCAGAGGAAATAAAAACAAAGGCAAGGTTACTTGAAAAAAAACAACAACAATAACAATAACAAAAGGATGCTTTAAATAAAAGCAGCTAACAATTAAACAAAAAAAATAAACAAGTTGGTGAATGAATATAACAGAGAGATTAAGAGAGCGAGTAGTATGATTAATAATAAGGAATATGATGATGCTGAGAGTTTTATTAAGCTCTTTTTAAATTGGGCTGTTAATAGAATTAATGTTAATGTTTTTGTATAGAGGTAAAACCATATGCTTTAGCAGTTTACTGTTAAATAAAACATATGAGCGTAATAATTGAGCAAAAGCTTTGGGTTAAGCAAGCTTAAAACACAATTGTGCGGGTGGTGACATGAAAAGTTCTTTTATAGCAGTAATATGTACATTAACGGATTTCCGTTTTTTAAGCTTAAACCAAATACTCCCGCACATATTGTACTAAAATGGGGATCTTTGTTGTTGTGAGAGTAAAAGCTTTGTTGATGGTACAATAATAAAATCATTGTAACTCATACGTCTAGTGGGACTACAACAATTTAATAATCAGTTGCCTACGAAATGTTGCTCAAACTACAGACGACGCGTGTTTTAATAATTACAAAAGAAATAAACTAAACATACATAACTACAACTATTATAATAAATTAGTAAAAAAAAATTAAATATATATATAATTTTAAAGGATAATTTGAAAAGTGTTTTAAAGTAAAAAAAAGGAAAAATTTGTGGATATTTGTTAAATAAAGATTTTTTTTTTTTTTTGAAATAAAAGCAAAAGTAATTTAGAATTTGAAAATTTTAAATAATTTTTTTTGAAAATTTTTTTTTGCAAAAACTATATGAAGGCTAAATTTTCTTTTCCTTATCCTCCTGTTGGCCTTTTTTTTTTTCATTACAAAGTATTTGTATGTTGGCAGTATTTTTTCATTGCTAAATGTTAAAGTGTATAAGTATGTGTGTGTTTTGTGTAATTGTAACTGTGAGAGTAAACTTAGTGAGGGAATATATATGTGTGTGTATGTGTTTGTGCTAACAAAATTTTAAGGATAAATTTCTCTAGAGCATCTCTGACGAGCAAGATATAATAATGATAAGGATGTTGTTGTTGTTATTTTAGCAGTGTATTGGTATTAACTATGAATGCAGGAAGGTATCCTTTTTACCAATACACTTAAACATTAGCATTTTATACACACATACACTCACATTTACTAACTGCACTTGTTTTCTATCCATACATATACCTTTATACGTCTATATATGTAAATGTATATGTTTACTTAACAGTGTATATGTGTGTGAGTTGTAAGTTGTTATTGTTGCTGTAGTCCTTTGATTTTGAACTTCTTGTAGGCGGCATTGGTGTTTCTATTTTATACTTAAAGTATATTTTTCCC